TCCACAGCTTGAAGTTCTAAAGTTGTCTTCATGCAACTTAATAGAGTTTCCAGAATTTTTAAAATATCAATCGGAATTGCGAGAGTTACAACTTAGCGACAACAACATTCAAGGGCGAATACCAAAATGGGTGTGGAATGCAACTAGAGAAACTTTGGAGACTCTCGACCTCTCTTCCAACCTCTTAACAGGATTTGACCAAAATCCAATCAATCTTCCATGGCAGAATCTATATTCTTTAGATCTCCGGACCAATATGTTACAAGGATCACTGCCAATTCCACCACAATCAATCAGAAACTATATGGTCGGCAGCAATAATTACAGTGGAGAAATTTCACCCTCGTTCTGCAACTTGAATCATTTGAACATTCTTGATTTGTCCAACAACAGCCTGAGCGGCATGCTTCCACAATGTTTGGGGAACTCCAGTGCTCTTGGGATATTGAAGCTGACGAACAATTCTTTTCATGGCGGTATTCCTCAAATGTGTCCAGATGAAAATAGTTTGAAAATGGTTGATTTGAGTTACAATCAGTTACAGGGGAAGATACCAAGATCAATGGCGAATTGCACTCAGTTAGAGTTTCTTAATCTTGGAAACAATCAGATAAGCGACATCTTCCCATCTTGGTTAGGAGCACTTCCAGCACTACAGTTTCTCAGTTTGAGGTCTAATGGATTTCATGGCATGATTGGGAAGTCTGCAACTAACCATGACTTCCCAAAGTTGTGCATCATTGATTTATCTGACAATGGTTTTTCAGGTGTGTTGCCCTCTAACTACTTAGAGAACTGGAATTCCATGAAATTTGTTGACGAGAACCAGCGACCTTATTTTGAAGTCCTTTCGGTGTCAGACAAAGTTAATTATGTTTATGTTTATGAATACTCGATCACAATTTTTGCAAAAGGTGTTGAGTTGAAATATAAGAAGACTCCTTATCCTCTAAGATTGATAGATTTCTCAAGTAATAGATTTGAAGGAGAGATTCCAGCAGGTGTCATTGGGAATCTAAGAGGCCTTATTTTGCTTAACCTCTCCAACAACACTCTCACTGGTCTCATCCCATCGTCTTTATGAAACTTGACGGCTCTTGAATCGTTGGATCTCTCCCGAAACCAGCTCTCAGGAAGGATCCCCGGTAATTTGGCATAACTCACTTTCCTTGCATATTTCAATGTATCCTATAACCATCTTTGGGGTCCTATACCACTTGGCCAACAATTTGGTACATTCCTAGAAGATTCATACCAAGGAAACTCAGGTCTGTGTGGAAAGCCTTTGTCAAAGAAATGTGATAGCTCAATATCGCTACGACCATCAATCTTTGAAGAAGATGAAGATTCCGGGTTTCAAATTGCACTAGATTGGTATGTGGTTCTGCCAGGAGTTGTTAGTGGTCTAATAGTTGGAGTGGTTGCTGGGAACTTTTGGACAAGCAAGAATCATGAATGGTTTTTAGAGAAATTTAGCAGGAAGAGGCAGCCAAGAGGCACACGGGGGAGGAGAGGACACAGAAACTAAGTACTTATTTTAAATCCATGCTTATCTTGCAGCTGCTGCTGTTGTTGTTTAGAATTCTTGTATGGGGTCTGGTGCATTCTGTTTTATTACAATAAGGGTGGTGGTGTAATTTGCTTGTATTAATTTGTACAACAATGTTTGTAACTTTGTAATATGTTTCTGTATGAGTACAAAAAAGTACATTTTCTGTTTCCTGTTTGCTTAGTTTCTTTGATTTCCTGAATTGTTGTTCTTAATTAAGTACCCAATATTTGGAGCAAATGCTCCCTCTAAGAAAGGTTTTGGGTTTGAGTTTAATATGTTATTGCCCCTCTTAATAGGAAAAGTTCTTAAAAATACATGATCCACCTAAAAAAATAAAATGGAAATAAAAGAGTGGAGGAGGGAAATGCCCTCGTCAGCAGGCTGCAGGCAACACATTTGGGTTCAGAAATTATGTTCAATGTTCGATTATGTCACTAGTTTTAATAATTATAGTTTGACAGCAATGTTTGTGGTTCCAGCAAGATAAATATCAATCCTGTAGACGACTTTACTTCAAGTCTTGGAGTGATTGATCACCGCTCATTAAGCATCCCCATTTTCCTTGATTATTTTGCATGAGCTGTGTCTATAAAAGGAGGTGGATTTCTCGATCCTTAATTATGTAAGAGCCATAAGCATTTCCATAATTAGAAAACAAAGCTGCGATGGGAATGGAATCGTGGAAGAGGGTCCATGCATATGAACGCTACTAAGTCTTGTAGAACCACCACTGGATATATTTCAAACAAAGATGCCAAACTGACATGACTCAGACTAAGTCACTACAATATTTTTTTCACTAACCTAAAAAAATAAAATGGAAATAAAAGAGAGTGGAGGAGGGAAATGCCCTCCCCAGTAGGCAACACATTTGGGTTCACAAATTATGTTCAAAGCGATCATGTTCGATTATGTCACTACTTTTAATAATTATAGTTTGACAGCAATGTTTGTGGTTACATGCAAAAGACTCTGTGGAACAATATTTCCAGCAAGATAAATATCAATCCTGCGGACGACTTGACTTTAAGTCTTGGAACCGCTCATCAAGCATCCCCATTTTCCTTTATTATTTTGCATGAGCTGTGTCTATAAAAGGAGGTGGATTTCTCGATCCTTAATTACGTAAGAGCCATAAGCATTTCCATAATCAGAAAACAAAGCTGCGATGGGAAAGGAATCGTGGTGGTCGAAGTTTATTTCTGTATGTAGTTTTATTTTGCTATTACTCAATGCCACTCACTGTTTTTTACTTGCACAGACTCAGGCACTTGGCCAACTTGATGAGTGCTCAGCGTTGCTGCAGTTCAAGGAAAGCTTTGCAATTAGCAAGTCTGTTTCTGCAGATCCTCTTGCTTATTCGAAGGTTTCATTTTGGACACGAGAAGGAGATGGGAATCGGAGTAATTGTTGTTCATGGGATGGTGTTGAGTGTGATGAAGACTTTGGCCATGTTGTCGGCCTTGATCTCCGTAGCAGTTGTCTCTACGGTTCCATCAATTCCAACAACACTCTCTTCAGCCTTGTTCACTTGCAGAGGCTTGACCTCTCAGATAATCACTTCAATTTCTCTCAAATACCATCAAGATTCGGTGATGATCTTTCGAGTCTAACATATCTCAACCTTTCAAATTCCTTGTTTTCCGGAGAAATTCCATCAGAAATTTCAAAGTTATCGAAGCTGTCTACCCTTGATATGTCTTTCAATTCGCAGAAAGTTGATGATGATAGTTTCAGTTTGAAACTGAACAATGCCAACATGAGAAGCCTGGTTCAAAACTTGACCGCCATAAAACAACTTCATCTTAATTGGGTAGAGATGTACTCCATGGTGCCTGATATCTTGGTCAATGCATCTTCTCTCACATCTCTCCAACTTCGTGGTTGTGGGTTGAATGGAGAATTCCCAATTGGCATTTTCCACCTACCAAACTTAGAGGTTCTCTATCTGCTCTATAACTCAAACCTTACCGGTTATTTTCCTAACTTTAACAGGAGCAATGCCCTCAAGAATTTGAATGTTGCCCACACGAATTTCTCTGGCCAACTGCCTACCTCCCTTGGAAACCTTCATTCCTTGAATGTGTTTGTCATCATGTCGTGTAATTTTCATCCCAATGTTCCATCTTCAATCGGAAACCTTTCCCAACTCAGTCACCTTTCCATGTCTTCATTTCATGCCTTTTCCAAAGGCAAGCTATCTGTTTCTTTTTCTTGGGTTGGAAAACTAACCAAACTCTACCACTTGAACCTTGCAGATACCAACATAAAGGGAGAATTCCTATCTTTTGTGTCTAACCTGACACAACTTGAATTTCTAGACTTGTCCGATAATGAAATATCAGGTCAAATCCCATCTTTGCAAGGACCAATTCCTGGGTCACTCTTCCAACTCAAAAATCTTGAATATCTTGATCTTTCCGGTAATAACTTGAGTGGGTTGGTTGAGTTCGATCAGTTTTCCAAGCTCAAAAAGTTGAAGGGCCTTGAATTATCGTACAACATGTTATCTGTGGAGATCAGAAATGATTTAAGTGCTACTCTTCCAAAGCTTCAAATTCTAAGACTGGGCTCCTGCAACTTAACAGAGTTTCCAAATTTTTTGAAAAATCAATCCGAATTGACTGGTCTAGACCTTTCTAGCAACTATATTCACGGCCCAATACCGAAATGGGTCTGGAATGCAACTAGAGAAACTTTGTTGGAACTCTATCTCTCTGACAACTTTTTGACTGGATTTGACCAAAATCAAGGCATTGTCCCATGGACATATCTGATCTCTCTGAGTCTTGGGTTTAACATGTTACAAGGACCTCTGCCAATTCCACCGGAATCAATCAGATTGTATGATGTCGGAAACAACAAATATACTGGAGAAATTTCACCTCTGTTCTTCAACTTCAATTATATCCAAGTTCTCGATTTGTCCAACAACAACCTCAGTGGCATGCTTCCAAAATGTTTGGGTAACTCTAGTGTTTTGGAACTATTGGGCCTGCATAACAATTTTTTTAATGGATATATTCCTCCAATATGTCCAAGCAAAACTAGTCTGAGAATTGTTGATTTTAGTTATAATCAGTTGCAGGGGAAGCTACCAAGAGGGGTGATGAATTGTACTCAGTTAAAGGTTCTTAATTTTGCAAACAATCAGATGAGTGACATCTTCCCATCTTGGTTAGGGGCACTTCCAGAATTAAGGATTCTCATTTTGCGGTCTAATGGATTTCATGGCGTAATTGGGAAGCCTGCAACTAAACATGAGTTCCCAAAGTTGCATATCATTGACTTATCTAACAATGGTTTCTCAGGTATGTTGCCCTCTAACTACTTAGAGATCTGGAATTCCATGAAATATGTTGATGAAAACCAGCCAACTTATTTTGAAGTAAATACGAATGTTCTCAATGGAAAATACTTTAAGTATCATTACGCAATGACAATAAGTGGCAAAGGTGTTGAGTTGAAATATAAAAAGACCCCTTATCTTCTCACAGTCATAGATCTGTCAAGTAATAGATTCGAAGGAGAGATTCCAGAAGGTCCCGTTGGGAAACTAAGAGGCCTTATTTTGCTGAACCTTTCCAACAACTCTCTCACTGGTAACATCTCCTCATCTTTTGGGGACTTGGCCGCTCTCGAATCGTTAGATCTCTCCCAGAACCAGCTCTCAGGAAGGATCCCGAGTAATTTAGCACAACTCACTTTCCTTGCATATTTTAATGTATCTCATAACCATCTCTCCGGCCCCATACCACTTGGCAAACAATTCGATACATTCCAGGAGGACTCGTACGAAGGAAACTCAGGTTTGTGTGGAAACTCTTTGCCAAAGAAATGTGAAGATTCTGAGAGCTCAACGCGGCCACCACCATCAATCGTGGAAGAAGATGAAGACTCTGTATTTCAAATTGCACTAGATTGGTACGTGGTTGTGCCAGGAGTTGTCAGTGGTCTGATAGTTGGAGTGCTTGTTGGGGACATATGGACAACAAAGAAGCACGAATGGTTTGTGGAGACGTTTAGCAAGAGGAGGAAGCCAAGAGGCACAAGGGGACGCAGAACTTAGCCCAAGGCCATAAGGGAAGTATTTGAGCCTTGAAAGAATATTATGTTGTTGTGGTGTGAGGTTTCGTGGTACCAATTGTGTACGTAGTATATTTTGCATATGTGGTTGTGTAAGTTATTTGTAATGTATTTCTCAACAAGTACTCAAATATGTCTTGAGAGTTTGAAATGTGTTTGGTTTAATAAAGTGGATTGCAAGTTATGTCTTGAGAATTTCTTGATTCTAGCTGATTAATTGTGATTGTTTTTTTTATGTATTTAGAGACTAACAAACTATTTTAGTAATAAGCTTAATCTTTGAGTAGTTGTTTTAATTGCACTGTAATTTTTCCTATTTGGTTATTAGTGCAAATCCTAGACAAAATTGCTGTCAACTTTTGACCAACTGAAATTTAAGTTCTTAGAAAAGACTTTAACGATTTTTGAATGGTTAGCCTAATGACTTCAGCGTCACAAAGATGAGATTTGGCTTAAAGTCAACCAAGAAATCCTACATCCTCATCTGGGATTATCCTTAAATTCCAAAGCAACAACCTTTAAATTTGACATAAGTAATCATTTCAGCGTGGAACATTCTTTCGTCTCAACAGAAGAATTAAACCTTCTAAAGGCAATTTAATAAACAAAGCAGATTAGTTCTCATTAGACCTTTATGATTATCCCCATAAGTTTTGCTTGAATTTATGGTTATGCCATTGATTTTTGCCTGAATTTACAGTTATAATATCAACTTTTCTTGAATTTACGATTATGCAATCGGTTTTGCTTGAATTTACGATTACACAATTGATTTTGCCTGAATTTACAATTACGCCATCAACTTTGCTTGAATTTACGATTATGCCATCTGTTTTGCTTGAATTATAATTAGGGGAATGCTAGCAACCTTCTCTCTAACCTTCTCTTTTTTACCTTCTCCCTTCTCTTCATGACATGTGTTATTTTATCTACACTTAAAACAATGTCATTATTACATTTGACAATGCATCTTTTATTTCCCAAATTTACCCTCATGGAATGCATTGGATAAACTAGCTTTTGTTTCCACTTTGTTAAAAAAATTAAGAGAAAATTTTAACGCCTCCCACAAAATTAACGTTAGTTTTTTAGTTTTTTTTAAAAAAAGAATATGTTTACTCTTTTTTTGGTGAGCGAAGAGGAGATGGGTTTTTAGGTATGGAATTGAAGGAGGAGAGAGAATGAGAAGCACAATGCACAGTGGAGTTTTGGATTGGAGAGAAATGGTGATGATTGGGTAAGGATGGGGGCGTTGTTTCGGCCTAGGGAGGGGACTGGGTTTTGGGTTAGAGAGAGAGAGAGAGAGAGAGAGATGGTGTAATGGGTTTGGGTATTTTTTTAATTTTTTTTAATTTTTATATAGTTTCTTTTTATCTTTTAACTTTTTCATTCAATTAGAATGTTCATTAATTTTAAAAAATATTTATCTGTTTTTTTTTCCATAAATTTTAACAGTTTTATTGAAAAACTTATGTTTGGAAAAAAAAAATATTTTTGTTTTAGGGAAGTATAATTCGTTTTTATTTACAAATATTTATTTGATTGAACTTTTAGTGTTTATTTGTTAAATTTGATTTTTTAAGTTAAGTTGTAAATTGAAGGAAATATAAAGTTAATACATTTAATAAGGGTAAATTTGGAAACAAAAGATATATTGTCTAATGCATTAATGTCATTGTTTTAAGTGTGGAGAAAATAACACATGTCATTAGGAGAAGGGAGAAGGTCCAAAAAAGAAGGTTAGAAAGAAGATTGTTAGCATTCCCCTTAGAGCATCTCAAATACCAAACGTCAAATTTAAATTTGATGGCTGATGTGGCAATTTGACATCTTACACAGCTTTACACTCCATC